ATGACTAGGCAGGGCAGACTGCAGGTGGTCCTAAGGAGCCTTGGGTCGCAAAAGTTGTTACTAGGGAGCAGTGTTATGGAGGCAGGAAATTCTGCACAGATAGTGGTACTTAAAAGCCAATTGTGGGACTGTGGTTATGGCTGAGCAGTAGAGTCTGCATAGCATATATGAGGCGCTGGCTTCCATTCCCAGCACTGGAAAAGAAAAAAAGTGTGTAAACCAGTCCTGTCTTGAGATTTGCCTTGAACTTTTTATTTTCTATAATGTATCTAGTCTGGAAATGATGTTCCTGAATCAGACATCAGAATGAAAAACCAATTAAGCAACTATTTCACCAAAGTCTGTAATAATCTCTCCTTTTCACTCTGTTGTAACTCTGATTGTGTGACCTCAAAGTGTTTTGTGGAACTCACAGACAAAGCCCAGTCCAGGGCTACCCAATTCCTGGAGACAGTAAACAACTTCTTAGGATAGCACCTTTTCACATGCTAACTAAACAATCTTTAAATCGCTCCCCCACCCCACACCCCAGGCACTTCCATTCTTCACCAATATTTCCCCAGCCCTAATCACCCTAGGGCTAGTTACCAGATAAACCTGAATAACTCTTGAAGTCATTCAAATTAGCCAGTCCTCAAGGAGCCCACCCACCTTTCACTCCTCCACCCTGTGGAAACCACAACAAAGGGCTTTTTTTTTTTTTTTTTTTTTTTTTTCTTCCCTCAAACACCCCAGGACTTCTTTTTCATACTGACCAGCCCTGGTCTTTCCCTTGTGGCCGATTTCTCTCTTAGCAACTGTGAACCACAAACTATAGTATCAATAACTGCCATCTCCTGAACTGTTGGTCTCACCATACCTGAAAAATAATAGCCAGCCTTTAAGCCAGCATGTGTGCCTGTCATTCCAGCATACAAGAGGTGGGGGCAGGAAGATATGGATTTTGAAGTCATCCCAGGCTCAGTAGTGAGCTGGAGATCAGCCTGAGCTACAAAAATCGAAGAAAGTCAAACAAGAAAAGGCTACTTCACTTTTTCGTGGAGTGGAGAGGCTGGGGCTAGAATCCAGGACTTTGAACATGCTAAGCATTGTTTCTACTACTAAACTATAACCCTGGCCCCTTAGCTATTTTTTAATTTTGTGAGAATTGTATACACAATATATTTATAACCCTTCCAGGGTCTGTATCACCTGTCCTAACTCCTAACAAATCTCTGTACTCTATTTTTTTAATGTATATTTTTATTGAGTTTTTGTGCATTTCATATAATAAATCTCAATCATATTTAGACCCTTTCCCATACCCACACCTTCCATAGGTCCCCCAGCTGGAATTCATGCATTCTGTTATTTATGTTAAGACCTATTGAGTCAAGCTTTTGCATCCAGATGTCCCTTGGTGCAATTTCATCCACTGGAGCCTAGTCAGTCTATTTAGAAACAGGTTGGGGTCACCCCAGTTCTTTGCTGGGTTTTTGTCTGATTGGTTCTGCGTGGGTCTTGTGCATGCTGTCACCATTGTTGCAATTTCATATGAGGAAGTTTCCATAGGTCAGGAAGCCTCTGTTTCCTTATGTTCATGCACCAACCCTAGCTCTTACAATCTTTCCACCCCCTTTTCTGCAATGGTCCCCGAGCCATGAGTAGGTGAGGTTTAATATAGAAGTCTTATCCAGGGACACATGCTTTGCAGTCTCTTATTCTCTACACCTTGGCCACTTGTAGCCTTCTATGTGCCTCAAACTCTGTTGCATGCTGAAGCTTCACTGGAGAGACTTGAGGGCCCCATTAGTACTCTCTCTACTTCCTGTTCCACTATGTTCCATGAGCCTTGGGTATAAAGTTTCCACTATAGGTGTGTTGCTTAAGGATGTAGCTCTCAGACACATATTCTCTGTGTGTTACCAGTTGTAGGACTCTGTAGTAGCCTCCATCTGAGAAAGAAGCTTCTTTGATAAGTTGAAAGTAATATAGAAGTCTTATCCAGGGACACATGCTTTGCAGTCTCTTATTCTCTACACCTTGGCCACTTGTAGCCTTCTATGTGCCTCAAACTCTGTTGCATGCTGAAGCTTCACTGGAGAGACTTGAGGGCCCCATTAGTACTCTCTCTACTTCCTGTTCCACTATGTTCCATGAGCCTTGGGTATAAAGTTTCCACTATAGGTGTGTTGCTTAAGGATGTAGCTCTCAGACACATATTCTCTGTGTGTTACCAGTTGTAGGACTCTGTAGTAGCCTCCATCTGAGAAAGAAGCTTCTTTGATAAATGGTGAAAGTACCCTGCGCAAAAGTCAACTCCAAATGGATCAAAGACCTCAATATGAAACCTGAAATTCTGAAATTGCTAGAAGAAAACATAGGCAGTACCATACAAGAGAGATGTGTAGGAAAGGACTTTCTAAATCAGACAGTTGCTCAGGTATTAAGGTCAACAACTGACAACTGAGACCTCATTAAACAACTCCATATATTTGATTTGCCAAGACAATAAACTATTTTTATGTGTAGAAAAGAGACAGGAAGATCCCTGGGGCTTATCCAGCCAGTCTAGCCTATTCAGTGAGTGCCAGGCCAACAAGAGACCCTATCTCAAAAAACAGGGTTGGGGGTGGTCTGGAGAAATAGCTCAGAGGTTAAAAGCACTTGCTGCTCTTACAGAGGACTCAGGTTTAGTTCTCAGCACCCACATCAGGCATCTCAAAACCACCAACTCCAGCTCTGGGGGGATCTGATGCTCTCTTTTGGGCCTCTGAGTGCACCCCACTCGTGTATACCCACCCGTATACAGACACAGATACACACAGACACACAGACGCAGAGACAGAGTTGAAAATAATAAAATAAAATCTTTTTCAAAAATTTAAAGCTGGAATTGGTGGTACATACCTATAATCCCAGCATTTAAGAGGTAAAGGAAAGAATATCAGGAGTTCAAAACTAAGAACAGATAGAGAGTTTGAGGCTAGCCTGGGCTGCATGAGATCTTGTCTCAGGAGTAATTTAAAAACTATATATTTAAATGGTAGAATGTACGTTTTGCTGTGAGAGCCATGCATTCAATCCCCAGTGCTGAAGAAACAAACCTACAAACCTACAACCTGAATGCAACATTTTGCATATCTAATTCAGTTTCTTTTTCTATTAAAGTGACTACCTTCTCATGAATTCTTGTCCTTTGTCAGGAACTGAGGACAGAACCTTCTAGAATGTTCCATTGGAAGACGAAATAGTGCAGAACTAACTTCTTATAAATATGAAAAGGGAAATAGAGACTAGGGAAAATGAGCCCTTTGTAGAAAAGAAATGCTTAAGGCAAGCATAGCGGCTCACATCTATAATCCCAGCACTTGAGAGACTGAGGCAAGATTATGAGTTTGAGGCCAATCTGGACTACACAGGGAGTTCCCAGACAGCCCTTAGTAAGTGTAAGATCCTGTCATAACTTATTTCCCCCTCCCAAGAAAAATAAAGAAGTGATAAAATATTGTGTATTGAGAAAAGCACCATGAGAGTAGGATAAAGCTTTCAGATGGGGTCATTTGGAGTTCACTACTGATTTAATGTATCTTTTCAGTTGAAAGGAGGTACACACCAATAAACAAGGATTGGCTAGTGAGCATCAACTATGTTAAGACACATATGTCACTTTTTTATTATTCCCTCCAAATACAAGCTGTCTTAGGTAGAGTACTTAATTCTAAACTGTAGACCAACTAATGAAAATTTTCAGTATGAATGGGCACTTCTTCAAAGAGAATGTAGAAAGATTTAAGTTTATAGGTTTTGAAAGATGTTACTTAAGGGGCTGGAGAGATGGCTCAGCAGTGAAGAACACTGGTTGTTTTTTCAGAAGGCCCGAGTTTGAATCCTAGCACCCACATGGCAGCTAGCAACTGTCTGTAACTCCAGTTCCAGGGGATCTGATGACCTCTTCTGTCCTCCACGGGCATTGCATGACACAGGTGCACTTACCTACACACAGGCAATACACGCATACACATAAAGTAAAAATACTAAATAAAAAAAATTTTTTAAGATGTTACTTAAGATGTATAAATATAGACAGATCATTCAAAAGGAGCCAATGAGATGGCTCATGGGATAAAGTTACTTTTGCCACTTAGCCTCACAACCTGTGTTCAGTTCCTAGATCCCACATGGTGGAGGAGAGATTGACTCCTAAAAATGGTCCTCTGACCTCCACACACGCACATGCGCACACACATACACAGGCAAGTAAATAAGTAAATAAATAAAGGAGAATGTGATCAAGATTTTTTTCTTGTGATGGGGTGGGGTGCAAACCCAGATGCTCACAATATGCTGGGTTTTCTTCTTGTAAGGAAATGTGAACTCAGTTGTTAAAATGATCATAAAACTTATCTTTCAGAAACAGTTTTACTTGTGTGCACAAAATATTCAGTTCGAGAAACTAATGCCTAAAAATAGTTCCACACATGAAAATAGTTTATTGTCTTGGCAAATCAAATATACGGAGTTGTTTAAACTAAAATGTGGACTTGCCAAAAAGTCTCCCTGTGGTTCTATATTTTCTCCATCTGACAAGATAATTTTTCTATCATAGCACTTTATGTGACATGATACAAAATATATTTTTATCATTATTTGAGTTTGACATTACTAGAGTTCTGTTCCAAGTTCTGTGGAATTTTTCCTTCCTTTTTTTTTTTTTTTTCTACATCTAGGCTTCAGGTTAGGATCGGGCTCTGAGTTTATCATTTACGTGCAGTAATCACCATGATAAGTGTATAGTTAACAATACAGTTCTGGCAAACATCTAAGCAATACTATATATGAAATGAATGAAGCATTCTTTCCTTCTTAAACTCCCAGTCATGAGAATTTTTATATCAATGAAATATCTATGTGGATGTAGGGCTAAGTGCTGCTGCTAAGAATGGTAGAAATGTGGGGAAGTTCCCCAAAGACAAACAATTCCATTTTTATTAAAAAAAAAGAATTAAAAAATGAATGACAGGCTGTAAGGAGATACCTACTGTGTTGACTGGTGGTGATTGCTCTAGGTACTACTCTGAGCAGACAGGAAAAACAAAATGAGTGACAACCTGATCATAACATAACATAACAGCACACACCTGTAATCATAGAACCTGGACAGCTGAAGCAAGAAGACTGTGAGTTTAGGACTATGCTGGGTTATATAATGAGACTCTGATGCCGTGAAAAATCTGAGGTTACTGAAATAACCCTGTCATTCTCTCTTCTGATCACTAAGTGCATACCCATGATACCAATCAAAGCCTACTCATGATACAGATCAAAGGTTAAGGAACACACGCTTCCTACCAAACCTCCATTCCACCAGGACATACTTGACTGAGATATTTCGGGGATCCATGCTTCTAAAAACCAATGCATTCTGCTTTAGTTCCATGACAGTTTTCAGCCTAAGTTCAAGGGTAGACATTGAAACTTACCAATTTGCTCTTTCTAATCCTACAAGGAGGATTCTCTGGACCATCAAAATTAATAGGGGTTGCTATTAAGTGTATGTGGGCAAAGGGCCTACTCAGATACAAAAAGGGGAAGTCCAACGAGGGAGCTACCTTTTAAAATGGGCTTAACTGCATATATGTAACAATAATAATCAAAGAAGAGGTCAGAATGAGAGAGAGTGGGGAGGGGGGATGTGGGAGCAGTTGGAGGGAGGACAGGGAGGGATAGACATAATGTAACGGCAGTATTCATGTATGAAGTTCTCAAAAAACAATAAAATTAATAAATGAGTTTATTGTGCAGAAGCAGTTAAAACCCAATCGAACTACAATAAGGAATTGCATGGTATCAAAATCTGATGCATGAATTCAGTGTCCGATCTTCATCTGTGCTTGGTGTTTTACAAAGTGACATTACATGGAAATTAGTCTTTGATTTTCATATAATACCATGATTTGAAAAAGAAGTTATTGTTGATTATCTTGGCCATAGATAAGAAACGAATTTCCAAAATAAGAAATGAGCATTTAAAAAGTACTTTTAGCCAGGTGTGGTGGCACACATTAATCCCGGCACTAAGGAGACCGAGACAAGCAGACCTCTGTGAGATTGAGGCCAGGCTGGTCTACATAGCAAGTTCTAAGCTAACTGGGGGCTACAGGGAGACTTGACTCAAAAATAAACTGAAAACTATTTTTAATGTTTGAAACAATGACAGAAAGCCTTTGTTCTGGCCACTGAATAGTCTTAGGAGTAATGAGCCTCAGCCTATTCCAAAGATCATCTTGAGCTTACCTACCTTTGACTTAGTGGCTTCACAATGTACTATGCTACCCCTTCAGGCTTATGGTTAAAGATACCAATCAGCTTTTCCTGTTCACTTAAACCATTGTCCCTGAAGTTAAGGAAATATATAGGTCATTAGCCCCATACCCGTGCATACAGAGTGTCCTCCTACTCCAAAATAGCTTCCTAATTCCCAGCCAGTTCAGAGCCTCCCACCAGATGCAAAGAAACAGTTTGAGAATGTTTCTAGAGCACTGTTACTAGAGCGGTGGTAAAAAACCAGCTGAAGGTAGAGCTCAGAGGCAGGTTGCTTGTTTAGTATATGTAAGGCCCTGTGTTCTATCCCCAGCATGGAAAAAAAAGAAGTAGCTGTAAATACAATGCTGAACTGAGCACTTTAACTGAGATGGTGTTATGACATGTTTGCATACTCATTCTAAATAGATCCACTCTCACTATGCATGGTTATACCCTCAATTTGCTCAAAGGATCAAAGGTTTCTCTCACTCTCTTTCTCTGTTTCTGTCTCTCCCTGTCCTTCTCTCCATGTGTGTGTGCGCATGCATGTGTGTGTGCGTGTGTGTGTGTGTGTGCATGTGTGTGTTCAAGATAGGGTCTCATTATGTAGCCCATGCTACCTTCAAACTCACTGCAAGTCATCTTCAATCATCTTGCCTCAACCTCCCAAGTACTAGGATTATAGGCATGCATCATGATACCCAGCTTTGTATGTTCTTTTAAAAATGTTTTAAAATTTATTATTAATGTCTGTGTGTAAGGTGTATGTGTGTGTGCGTGTATGTGTTAGTGCAGACACATGCATGCAACCATGAATGTGTGGAAATCAGTGCAGAGGACAACTTTGGTTCTCTCCTTTGACCATGCTCAGGTCATCAGGCTTGGGAAGCAAGGGCTCTTATTCACTGAGCAATCGCTTATCCTTGTATATTCTTTAAGCAAAGATTACCTGGCTCCATTCCTGCTAAGATGCTTAGCCAGCTAACAGTTCTGAATATACCCACACCACATCTTTTAGTTTGAGTACTTTCCATCATTTTGCTTGATAATGTACTCAAATCATTTTTAGTTGTTGTTATTTGCTTTTTAACATGTACACCTTAAAATAAAACACAGAGAACACTAAAGAAAAATTTCATGCACCCACTAACAAGCTTCAAAAGCAATTACTATTATGGGTTAGAGAGATATGTATAATCCACACCCAGGATATGGAGTGCTGAAGATCAAACCCAGGGCTCCATGCATACCAGGCAAGCACTTTATCAACTAAACTACATCCCCAGCCTAGTAATTAACATTTTACGGCATTGCTTATCTCTTGTTCTCCAAGAATATTTCAATACATATCATATGACTACATGCATGAAACTTAAACTGTACAATACAAATTTCTACTCTTTCATTTTCAAAAAAATTCTTTATTTTTATTATATGTGTATGAGTCTTTTGCCTGCACGTGTGTTAAGTGCACTCATTTCTTGCAATGCTCACGGAGGTCAGAAGAGGAAATAGGATCCCATGGAACTGGAGTTAGGGACGATTGTGAGCTGCCATGTAACTGCTGGGACGCAAACCTGGGTCCTCTGTAAGAACCAGTGCTCTTAATCACTGAGCCATCTCTTTAGCCCTTCTTTTGTTTCATTTTCTTTTGTTTTTTGGGAGGAGGATCATGCTATGTAGCACAGAATGATCTTGAATTCACCAGGAAACCAAAATCCTTGGGAATCCTCCTGCCTCAGCCACTTGAGTCCTAGGATTGTAAGTATATGTCACCACATCCAGTTTACAATTCATAACTGTGCTTTACATGTGTGCTAACTGATAAGCACTTCAAAATAAATAACCAAGGGCTGATGAGATGGCTCATGGGAAAAAGGTGCTCACCACAAAAAGCCTGATGACCCAAGGTCAATTGTTGGGATCTAGATGGTGGAAGGAAAACACTGACTAGGGCAAGTTTTCTCTGAACTCCATAGTTGTTCCCCCAACATGCAATAAATAAATAAATGTAATAGAAAATTTTAAAGTAAATAATCAAAACACCATCGTTTTATTTAACCCAAATTAGAGTTAGTCTCTCATGGAACATGAAAACATTCATGTCCATTCACAAATTTAACCTGTTCTTATTAGGATTCAAAAAAACTGATTATACAAAAAGCTGATTCAAACATTCCTAATTCCTCCTTCAATCTATGATTCCTCTTCAATTTTTGTCATTGCCATTCCTTTGAGGAATGGGCTAATTTTCATCTTGTGGAGTTATTTGCAATCTGTATTTCAACATATATTTTTGCTTAACAAATCACACTACAAACTGAATTTCTTGTCCTCAATAATATGGACTTGGTGAGATTCAGTCTTAATTTTTTGTAGGATTTATTCATGTATTTAATGTGCATGTGTGTGATTGAGTATATGTGTGTATAGTGTGTGCAGTTAGCGGAGGCCAGAAGAGGGCGTTAGAACCCCTCCAGAACTGGAATTACAGTTGGCTGTGAGGTACTAATGTGGGAACCAAACCCAGTTCTCTGCAAGAGCATCAACTGCTCTTACCTGAGTCATCTCTCCATTTCCCAGGCTTGATTGTTTTAATAAGAATACTTTGTGGTTGATGCATTTCTTCTAATTGCATCATATGAGGTTATATATTGCCTCTACTTTGCTGTAAAGACAGATCTGTGGGTTGCAACATTTTCTCTTCAATCAACTACATTATAATATTTCAAATCAAAATTTTGCCTAAACTGGGGAATGGTTGCACAGGGCCTGCAATCCCAGAATTCCCAAGGTTGAGGCAGGAGGATTGTAAGTTTAGGCTTCCCAGGCTACATTGTAAGCCCCTATCTCAAAAACAACAATGTCAACATGTGGTGTGGATTAAAATTTTTGATTAAGCATTCATCATCAGTCAATGGACATTTGGATTATTTCCCTCTTTGAACCAAGAGAATAATAATACTATAAACATTCCTGCAAAGGACTAGGAGATAGCCAGTAGATAAAGTGCTTGCTGCACAAGCCTGGCAACTTGAGTTTGAGTCCCAGAACCCATGTAAAGTTGGGAGGAGAGAACCCACTCCACAGTTTTTCTCTGACTTCCATGTATACACCATGGTATATGGGCAATTACACACACACATACACACACACACACATACACACACACACACACACACACCATACACACACAATAACAATAAATGAAAAAAAATTTAATGTGTAAATGCTTTTATTAGAGTGTCTGTTTTAATAAGAACAGAGGAAGAACTATATGAGGAGGTGTAACCAGCAAGGCAGCCAGAAGCATTCAGGGGTGTGGGGGAAGGGAATGAACAAAGTAAAAAGGCATTTATGTATGAAAATGCCATAATAAAAAAAAAACCATTCCTTTATATGCTAACTTAAAATTTTGACAAGAGCAAACCGTCAAGATAAAGAATATCTGTTTGGTTTTCTGGTCTGTATTTTAAAACACAGTTGCTATTGATGGAGAAAGGGAAAACAAGTAGACTTGAAGAGGTTAATGGGTGAGTAAAGATAGGGAAAGCCAGTGGGATGAGAGAGGGATAAATAACACCATGGATATTTGAAGAAAAAATGGAGAGAAATCTATTATTTATAAGCTTTCTTTAAAAATACATGTATAAGTTGCTGGGCGTGGTGGCACATGCCTTTAATCCCAGCACTTGGGAGGCAGAGGCAGGTGGATCTCTGTGAGTTCGAGGCCAGCCTGGTCTACACAGTGAGTTCCATCCAGGACAGCTGGGGCTACAGGG